CTACTATTAAAGAAAGAAAGTATATTCAAATGCCAACCACTCACACTTTCCATATAACAGGCAAAATATTCTTGCTTTTGAAACTGACTGACCTCATGATTGACCTGGTTACAGAGTTTCAGCCTTCTTGTGGTACGTTTCCATGACCATTTCTTCCTGTCTGAAGACAATATGAATTGACTGTTCAATTGGGTTTATTATTGGACCAATCTTGTGAATGGACCAACGTGTGTGGTTGCAACCTATTCAGTTAAAAAAACAAAAGAGTTTGAAATCAAATTTCCGAAGCCTCAGTATGACATATGATATCAGGAACAAGACTTTAATTTAAAAAAAAATCATGTGTGTACATATGCAAAAAATAAATAACCCCCAATCCAAATCTATTTATAGCTATATAATTAAAGAAATCTTATTCTACTGAAGGATGCAAAAAACACAGATTTGCTTATTGGATAAAATAAAGATTGTTCCCCAAGAAACACATTTGAATTAAAGGAAAACTCTTATAAGATTAAATTGAGCTGATATTTATCTAAGTAGTGATTAACAAAACAGTCCTACATTATTTTTCAGACAGCTCCAACTTTGGAGACTCTGACAAATCTAATTCCTTGGTGGCATTAGCCTTGCAGGGTGAATGAGACAAAAGAATCACATTTCTGATTGTTTCATCTTCCTCAAGGTTCCTTTCTTTCTCTTGAAACCAAAGGACAGAACTGATCTGGTGTAAATTAGTGGCTGTGGGACTTGTAAATTTACACGTCTCCTGTTAATGCCTCCCTCTCCCCGTTTCGGACACTGAAGGGAGAAAAAAAACCTGTCACAGAAGTTTCCATGGGGACTGAAAGAAAGAATATAAGATTAGATTTTCATTGGGGACTGACTTTTTATTCCATCATTATTTATGGCCGCTGGGATCCTTTCTGTGGGGAACATCATTAGAGCCTAAGTGATATTTATTCTGGAATTAATAATGTGTGTTGTAAATGTGGATCTTCAATAATAAAGAAACAAGCAGTCGAGAAATATGGTGCACACTAGCACTTGGTAGGGCAACCATGAAAGACTTGGAAAAGATATTCACATGTTGTGAAGCAACTATACCTACAAAAATTAGAATAGTGCAGGCAATGATTTTCCTTGTGATAATCTATGGAAGCAAAAGTTGGATTCTGAAGAAGCAGGATAGAACAAGTATTGACACTTTTGAAATCTAATGCTGGAGATAAGTACTGAGAATACCATGGACAGCCTAGAAAACAAATGAATGTATCACTGAACAAATCAACCAAGCGTTCTTATTCAAGACACAAATGACTAGGGTTAAATTACCGTATCTCAGATTATGCAAACACTAGCTTTCTGGAGAAGGCGCTGATAATGGGAAAGGTGGAAGGAAAGAGAAGACAAACAGCAGCAAGGTGGGTAGTCTCAGTTACAATTGCAATGGATGTACCATTGGAAGACCTGAAGGACCAAGTGAGGGACAGGTCATCATGAGGAAAATCTGAACGTATTTTCTGGAAATTCTTTAAAATTAAGGCACCTAGAAAATGATGTAGATACTGTAAAAAAAGAGTAACTGTGACAATGATATGGCATTCATTTAGTACATATGGAGGTCCAAGTTATTACAGTCCTGCATGAAGAAAAAGCATTCCCATTGGCCAGGGCAGCCAGTCTATTCTAGTTGAGAACTCTTCATACCCAATACAGGAAGTATCTTTGCATTGCTTAAGGAGCACATCATAACCCAGAAATATATCAAATTGGACCCCATTCCCCCATTATCTAAGCAAACCAAATACTTCTGTGTGGCATCATACTGTGGAGTTGTTTTCCCCCTGTAGCTGCAGAAAATTCAAATTAAAGGTCTGACTCTGAATATGGGCATTTTGTGTCCCATAACCTCATTCAGGAAGGCACCGAAAAGAGAGTTCTTTCACAGGGCATTTAGAGACCACTAGTTATAATTAGTTGTATAGCACCATGATATTCTGTCTGTAACATGTTGTATTGTTGTTATGTTGTGTAAACTACTGTTTTATTGGGTTGTTAATAATAGAATAATAGGGGTGGGAGGGAGCTTGGAGAACGTCTAGTCCAACCCCTGCCCAGAGCAAGAATCTTCAAAGAATCCCCAATAGCCATCCAATCTTAGCTTGACAGCCTCCAGTGATGAAACACCCATGTGTCCACTAGGCAGGCTGTTCTACTGCTTAATTAGACCCATGGTGAAGAAATTCCTCTTTATTTCAAGTTTGGTTCTCCCTCTGTAAAGCTTCTTTCTGTTGGTTCTTGCCCTACCTTTGGGAGCTATGGAGGATAAATGCACACCCTCTTTCCTGTGAAAACCCTTCAAGTATTGGAAGACTGCTGTTATGTCTCCCCTTAGTCTTCTCCTCTTTAAGTTTAATATACCCAGTTTCTTTAACCATTCTTCATAGGATTTAGCCTCCAAGCCCCTTAACCACCTTTATTGTTCTTCTCTGTGCTCTTTCCAGTTCCTTTTTTTCCCTAATAACTTTATTAAATGTTTAAACAAAAAAGATAAAAACTAACAAGTTTTTAAGATAAAAGAAAGAAAGAAAATAAGAGAGAACAAAGCCAAAAGTGCAGAAAGAAAAGAAAAGGGAAGTATAAAGAAACTGCTCTTACCAGTTCCTCAGCAATTTGAGCATCACTTTTCCAGCAAGTTCTGAACTCATCAGTTTCTGATTAAAAGGATGTATAAATGTGGAATAAGCCCAGAATTGTGATATCACTAACAATAATATACTCAGAAGGCTAGGAAGGTATTCGGCTATGCTTGTGGAAGTGTAACCTTTCAGATGCAGAACAGACATACAGATATTGATGCCCAGAAAAAGTCCTGAATGAAGCTGGAGTTGGAATAGAACCATTCTAGTAAATTAGGTAGAAGGAAAGAGAAGAAGAGGATGACCAACAAAAAATGGATAGACATAATGATAGTGGCAATGGATGCACTATCGGAAGACCTAAAGGACCAAGTTTAGATCCTCCTGGAGAAAATCTATATTTGTGGTAGCTGGCAGTTGACACCAACATGTTGGCACAAAATCATAATCAGAGTAATTTAGCACTCTACTGGACATTAATGAGTGGGGCTGCTAGGCAGCTTGTGATAGTAATTTCATGGAGATATCAAGTATATGGACTGAAAGTCCTTGGCTGAGTTTGAACAGCATTCCTTAAAGACTTAGTACCTGTGTTTGTGAAACATTCTAAGATTGGTTAGTTTTCAACTTGATAATTCATTGTGGCTTAGCATACACAAACATAGCTTGATTGATTAATTTATGATTCATGATATTGTGCAAAACCAGAAAATGGGTTAATGGAGTTCCAGAGTTCAGTATGTAGCATGAACCTCAGCCCATTATGTGGATAGTATATATTTTGTTGGCAATGTACAAAATTCCAGTTGCCTTTTTTCAAACAGGCCTAGGATGGGTCTATGTGTGGAGATTCCTGCTGTCAGTCTTTTTGAAGTATATGAGCCCATATCTACCTTCATATGCTTCAATGCAGGATGATAATATAGAAGTTGCAAAATATATTAACCTGGATGTTCTTGCCACTAATTATTTTTAATTAACTGGCCTGCTACTTTGCTAAAAAAGTCTAATCAACATTTTAGTACTTATCTTCTAAAAGAAGGAGTAAGCAAGAGATGAATGAAAATGAACAAATGAAAATGAAAAAAGTTTGTATCAAGCATCAGAATTCCAAGATAACCTATGCCATGTTGTGGGCTACTTCGTGCTATTGTTATTTTAATTAATGGTTTCACACAGACACAGTTGAGTAAATCTACTTTATTGTTACTTCTGACATCAAGGAAAATGTTCTTCTATTATAGTCAGTGAAAAGGGAAAGGATATGAACTTTCTTAAATGGTTCTAGTCATTGACCAATTTTAAAATACCAGGAAGCAATCTAGATGTCACATAAGTCATAAGTAACAAGAATGTTCCTGTTGGTCTCATATATTTGAAATCCAATCTGATAAATTCTAAGATGATCTGCAAACATCCTAATAATACCTAGATGAGTCACCTTAAGGTTAGAATTTCCTTTGCCTTGAGTTGTGCATTAGGAATAACACACTCAAAGAACCTGTTTATGAATGTGTTGCTAAATGTTCATAAGAATGTTGTAGTAAAAAATAAAAATCAAATCTCATGGCCATTAGTCATAATTTCACAACTCTGCACTGTGCCAATGTGATCATTAAGCTCAAAATTATTTTGGGCTTTCTCCCTTACTTTCTGGAAGGAGACTGAAAGCTTGATTGTACAAGGAAGAGAAATGATTATCAAGAGTTATGGGAAATTTTAAAAAGTAAAGTTTCTTTTGTGTTGAACTCAACACTTAGTGGTTTCCTGGTCATGACCGTGAAGTTTTCCTGGCAACGGTATGTACGTGATTTGCCATTGTCTTCTTCTGGTATCTTTTTGGGCTTTTCCTGACAGTTTCTCATTCAACGGCTAACCATCTCTGACCCTGATTACATTTTTCAGATCAGCCAAATTTGGCCAGTTGCTGAAACCTAGTTGGGGATGGCAAAGAAAGGAAGTTATACTTCAGAAGATTTCCTGTCTGATCCTGCGCCGGGAAGACCCCAGTGATAAAACTCAAAATGGATTGTTATTTTTCCTTCATCACTGAAAGGCTGCTTCAGACAACACATTTTATTCAGCCTGCTTGCACCCCCTAGATAAATAACTTACTGGTGATCCAGTGGCAGATGTTCAATAGACTGAAAACCTACCCCAGTTATATTGGGAGCGGCCATCTTGGATGCTACCCCAGCCACTCATATGTCTGTCATTTTCCTTTTGAACAATTGATGAAAAAATTAAAATAAAAAATTGTTATGACCCAGTCCTGGAGTCACCAGAGTTGGCTTGGCTTACCCTGACCACTTTCAATACCCATTTCACCCCACCATGAATCCAGGGGTTGAAAAAAAAAGTATTAAGAAATGGAGCTACTCAAGGCTTCTATTTTTTTGCACTGATAGAGATAGGTAATCTTTATTAATCTTTTCTTGATAAGGGTTTTCTTGTTTGAAGTACATTCTGTCCAACCCTTGATCCCTTCATGCAATACCCATCAAAGTGACTAAGTTTAGAAAATAAATCTTGATTTAGCAATCAGATGGAACACCACAGGAATTTCATTTTCTGCATCCAGTTTCACAAAGTACAATAGACACCCTTTATCTTCCTTTCAATTAATGCCCACATATAGAACAAAATGATGCCCTGGGACTAAAAATGAAAGATAAGACAACATAGGGCTCAATTTTGTCTTGGTTTCCATTTTTCCCCACAGACATAATGAAAACTTTTCTTCATTAAAAAAAGAAGAAAAAAATTTAATATATTGGTTCCCCATTGCTTTGTGAAGCATGTAAACAATTGCTAGTGCCATCAATTATTTGCTTACTAAAAGCTTTTAAGAATGTAACATCACAATTGGGATATTTTAAAGCTTTCTTCAATATTTGCTTAAGTAAGGCGATGATTCTGCACATCTGTAATTCCAAATACGTGAAGTTGTAATTTCTAATACTGGATTTAATTGTGGAGGATAAATTACTATGACCTAGATTAAGCTAATTTCATTATGCATTTTGCACTCTAACTTAAATTGGTCTTTAAATCCTAGCTATTGATTCCAGCAGAGGCAGGTTAATGAGGGTTCCCTTTGCAAAGATGGCTGATTGTCAATATTTGCTCCAAAATTGCTCTATGCTCTGAGAACAAAGAGCTCTTATAAATATTTGATAAGCAATGATAAATATATTCGTCTTCTTTATATCAGAGTAAAAAAAACCCTGATAAACATAAAGACAAGGTAAAAGTCAATATAATCTGGACTGTTAGAATAAGTGAAACTGAATTTTAAGAACATTAGAAACTTACAGTGGACACATTTAAATGTTTAGAAGCTTGGGTGAAATAAACTGTTAATTCCATGAATAGATAGAGTATTTATGCTGATCTAACTGAAGAAAAAAGTCTCTAGGGAGATTTTCCTGAAAAATCATGTCTGCTGTGATCACTGTTTCGTGTCCTATGACTATCTGAAAAAGTGAGTAATAGTAATGTAGGTGAATAATAGGGATCTCATGGAGCTATTGTGAGGGCATAGCACACAATTAAAAAAAAAAAGTAAGTCGTTTCACTCATTTAAAGGATGATGGAAGTCATGAGTCAGTGTAATGGTATGTGGGAAAACCTTGGGAGACTGGGCAAAGAGATGCTGCCTAGGGAACAGTCAGAGAAGAGACAGCATAGCCTGCAGCTAGACAGTGGATGGGGCAAGAGACTCGGAAGAGACTCTCCCTAATTTCTCT